CCAAGTTTGTGGCAATGTCTAATGGCAAGCCAACAATCCACCAGTTGAATATTATTCTTCAAATTTGGGAATTGATGTGTATGAGAAACTATTCAAATGTGAAATGTGTTTTGCCTTTATAATATGCAATTAAGAAATGATTAGGTCATGAAGTCTCAATCAAAGGTAATGATCATGCTGTTTGGTGCTGCTAGATACCTAAATACAACTTAACTCTAACAAATGAAGCTTCACTAAAGCACACTTTATTGCCAAAACAAAAATTCAATGAAAACAGAAAAATATTGTTAAGTCTATTCTATGTTTGGTCAAAATTTATATTTATAAAATATAACTGGCCTATATTTGCTTGCAGTATTGTGGCAAGCAAATTCTGTGTTTGGCAAATCAATCATAGTTGCTCAGACAAGGTAACTGGATTTGACTGGGGCATTTAAAATTGCCCAGGTTTTTTAAAGAAGCATTTATTCAGTACTTTTTATAATATGAAAGGAAACTAGCATAAATGTAAAGCATGTAGTTGTAGGTATAGCACTATCTGTTTATACTTGCTACATACAATTAACAAGGTTTTGTTTTTATTTATTTAATTTTTTATTTAATTAATAGCATATCTTCTGTTTTATAGTATTCATATATGACTGCCTCTTAATGCAGGCAAAAAACTTAAATGCACATGCATACAGACTCAAGAGAAAAAGAAATTATCTAAAATGTACGCAATTTTAATAGAGAAAGGTATAGATAGACTATACAAATGAAACCTTGGGGAAGTCTAGACAAATTAGACAAATGAAGGCTGGGGAAAGAGACATGGGCAAAAAACTGAGGTGGAACAATGGAGACAAATATGGAAACGGGGTTATTAATCTTAATGTGTTTTACACAAAAAAACTTTTTATAAAATATTCCACAGATGATACCTATCTCCAGCCATGATCCAACACATTTTTCTTATGGTGGTGCATCATGTTGGAGAGGCTGTGGAGAAAGAGGCTGCTCTTTTATGTGGTGTTTGTGCCTAGAGGTCCAAATATTATGGGGGTGAAGCAACCAGAATAATAATTATTGTTGTGGATAGTATTTTGCTTTGGATCCATTAATTTGTCTATTGAATGCTCTAGTAAAAGAAGTTTATTTTGTGTAGAATGAAAAGCAGACATCTTCCTTGTTTTTAGCTGCTAGATTATGTATTGCTCAAATATAGAAAGTGGTTAGCCATTTTACTCTGAAGTCAGGCAGAAGGCAGGTTTGGGTGGCACCAGAACAAGTTAGTCTTTAAGGTGTTACTCTGCCCTGTCTTCCAACGTGGTGGTGATGGAGAAATTGTTCTATCACGTTAGATTTTTAGCAATGTGACAAAAGAGGGGTAGATATTTAGAAATATAGGTTTCATTCTGGACCTATACAGAGGACAAAAATTCACTAATCAGTAAGCCAGCGCATCAAAGCAGAATTCTTGAATATTACTGAATGTTACTGGATGTTACACATACACACACACACACACACACATACACTCAGTATATTGACAGTGGAGGTGGTAGTTTATAAGAATTTTTGTTTTCCTTTGTAAAGATTACAGAGATGGTTAGTTGGGTTAACCTGAAGCCAGGCAGAAGGGAGGGCAGGGAATCGCCTTTGGGCTCAGGCAGACATTATTTTTCTAGTGCTAAGTTTGTAGCACTGTAAAAAACACGGTGTTATGGGCAGGCACACAAGCACAGCCTGGCTAAAGCAAGACAGTTACCACAAAGGCATGCTGTCTGGCTAGGGAGTGACAAAGGGCTTTCTCCCAAGACAGTCTGTCATTGAGTTGGACAAGCTCACCAACAGTCTTGCCTGATCAACTATTGCCATCATGGCAATAGCTGATAGGGACCAGAGACTGCTGGCTATTTCCAGTCTCAGGCTGCCTGCCAGTCCCTCAGGTAGGCAGGCGACCCCAGTGCTTTTTCCAGAGCTCCAGTTGAGCAGGTGGCAGCTCTGTTCACTGCTCCCCACCCTGCAGGAACTGGACCGGTTCTGGGGACCCCGTGGCTAAAACATTGCCTCTTGCTGATATTCTGGCTACAGGGGCAGAGCCTTTTTCTATGGCTATCAGAGCACAGGAAAGAGCAAGGCTGGCTGAAATATGGCCTGACAAATGATTTTACCCAACCCGCAGCTGGTCCACTGAAGGAGAATTTTATCCAGCCCACAGTTGCCCTGGCTTTTGGTGCCTCTCACCCTTCTCCCTTCCCCATGGCAGCCAGCTGCAGCAGCAGCAGCCACTCCCCTCCCCTCCTTGGCCAGCTTTCCCTGTCCCACCCTCCAGCCCCCAGTGTAAGCTCTAAAGCAGGGGGTGCTGAGCTCCTGGTCAGGTTTCTGAGGCTGTCTGTATGCCACTCCGACCCTGCGTCTGGCGAGTCAAAGCTCAGGTAAGGTTCTCCCTGCTGGTGGGGCAGGAGATGCAGGGGGAAGAGGGCCAGGAGCAGTGGGTTATCTGGGCTCTGCTTGGGCAAGGTCTGGTAGGGTGTAACAAGTGGGTGTTCCAGGGCCAGTCCAATTGCTGGCCTACTCACTTGTCTCAGGGCTAACCGCCCACCTACCTCACCTGCCACGCCTTTGATGATATGAATTAGAAGATGATAACAAGGCGGGAGGCTGCCCATTTACTTGCCCTGATGCCAAAGGCCTATACACAGCTCTGACCTTCCCTATACCATGTCCCATGCCTCGCAGATGATATCAATATTATTCCAGTGCCTCACACTGGGATCCGCACTCCCATGCCCTCCCACTGAGCCCCTCACACCAGTGCCTCACGTCGGGACTCTTGACTCCTATGACCTCGCACTGAGACTCCTAATTACTCCCACTGGGGGCTCCCAGCCCATCCCTTCTTAGGTACCCTGCCTGGCATGGGACACTCTTGATCCCCTCACAGGACCCTCTTGGTCCCCTCACACCTCACAGGGGCCTCATCCCGTGCCCAGCACTGGGCCTCAATCCCCTGCCCAACACTGGGCCTCAATTCCCTTAATCTGCTTACCCGAGGAGCCTCACATCTAGCTCCCTCATAGGCTTAGGGCCCCACCCCCTGGAGCCTCACATCCAGCTCCTTAATGCAACTCAGGACTTGCTCACGCTGCCTCACGTCCCTTCCTGACCCGGGCTCTGGCTCAGGACAAACAGTTGCGCTGATTGGGAGTGCAGCCACCTGCAGACTGCTCTGCTGTCTACCCCAGCCTCTGGAAGTAATAGAGCACAACTTGTGCTCTGTTACATAGGGGCATGGGCATCGATGCCATGCTGTGTTCATGTGGACCGCTTTGGGCTCTCCCACATGGACGTAGCTGGAGCAGCTGGTATGGCTCCTGCCCGACCTTGAGTTCCTGGCCTGTGGCAGGAGCTGAGCCAGCTGCACCCACTTGGCCCAAAGTGGCATGCAGCAACACAGCATGGCACCAGCCTGGCCATCTGCTGGGGACTCCAGGCAGGGAAGGGGGTGCAGAGAGAAGTGGGGAACACAGCACAACACCAGCCTGGCCAGGTTTGGATAACCCACAGCTCCCAGTCCCCTTCTCCCTGAACTCCCTCCTGCACCCCAAGTCCCTAGCATGCAGCCAGGCTGGTGCCATGCTGTGCTCCTGCATGCCAGCTCAAGTCATGCCGGTGCAGCTGATGTGGCTCCTGCATGACTCAGCTGTGTGCTGGGGACTTAGGGACAGGGGAGGAAGTTCAGGGAGAAGGGTGTTGGAAGCTGCGGGTCATCCAGGCCCAGCTGGGCCAGTGCCATGCTGTATTTCCCCACTTCTCTCTGCCTTGAGTCCCCAGCATGTGGCCGGGTCGGGCAGGAGCAGTGCCAGCTGCACTTACATGACCCAAGTCAGCGCATGGTAATATAGCATGGCACCAGCCTGGTTGCATGCCAGGGACTTGGAGCAGGAGGGGGATACAGGGAGAAGGGGGGAACAAAGGTTAGGTTCCCCAAACCTTTGTTCTCGTTGTGCAGTGATAGGCAATTATTTGGGCTGGAGAACCACTTAGGGAGTTTTGGTGAGCTATTGCAAGGGGGCAGTGCTGACCTGGCCTGTGACAGTTCATCCAAACTCCCTAAATGGCCCTACGGCCAAATAATTGCCAACCCCTGGGCAAGAGTGTGTTCGGGGAGCCCCAACCCATGGCCAGAACACCAGGCAGGGGGCAGCAGCATGCCCTGACAGAGCCCCCCTTACTTGATGCCAGTGATCAGCTGATTGACAGGACCAGGAACGGGGCAGTGTGCCCTGACAGCTCCAGAGAGCCAGCAACTCTCCCTCTTTTGGGTTCCAGGGAGCCATACTCTTACAGTGGAGGAGGGTGAGGGGAGGACTTGGATCTGTGATAGGAATGCCTGTCTAGATGTTAAATTAATGACAGAAAACCTTCCTGCCACAAAGAAGTTGCTGTTTTACACAGCAACTTTTTAGTGATGGATCTGATATTTTTGGGACAGGTCTACTATTTTTTTCCTATGACAAACAGCTTGACTATCTGGCTGGTTGAGTTTCTTCATGGGAAACTGTTATACAGAGCATGAGAAATCTAATGTCTTCCAGGACCCTAACAGACTGATTGGTTCACACCTTATTCGTTAGTCTATCTAAAGTACCACCCTGCCCTACCTTTTGCTTTTATAAAGAAGTAATAACTTCAACCTCATGCAGTTACTGTGTATCTGTCCAGTGTTGAAGCTTTGTTTCTAGAGTTGCCTGCACACAAAAGAAAGTTTTAAAAAAACCCCTGAAACATACAGTCCTCCTATCTCATTCACCCCAAATTGGATCTGGCAATAACCACATGAAAATGTAAATTATTTTATTTGTTGAAATTCAAACAAAATGTTGGCTTTGCTCACCCTGTGTCTGATATAATTCATATGTAGTATCTGGATTATGCATGACCTTCCATAATATATTTTTAAATTGTCTATATTAATCAGAATAAGACTCAACATGTTTGCTTTTGTCTTGCAGAATGAAAAAGAAACAGTATATTTTCCTACTCATGCTCCTCTATGCTGTTGAATATTGCTTAGCTCATTCTTGTGCAGTGGATTCTTTCTCTGTGAAAGAGAACTTTGACCGAAAGAGGGTAATTATTACTACTTCATCTACAGGAAGTAATTTGTAGAAGTAATCCAATTTAAATCAGTTTTTTTTATATATGTACTATGCTTATCTGAAAGGTACCTTGATACAGTATGTTCTGGGTAATTATTAAACATAACAACACTATAATACACACTCTCAAGCACTGTTTCTGTAGTTGAACCACTCCTTTTTTGTTGCTGTTAACTCATGGGATTAACCCCTCACTGCCATTATATCAGTAGGAAACCAGCCCCCTCTCTCCCCACACTCTGAATCCAGTATTTCAACACACATGACAACTAGACCACCCTGATCCTTTCTGGTAGGGCAGGACATAAATCTAGATACTGCTACTACTAATTTGACCTTATATTATCTGCTGTGTTGTGCATCATCCAAAAGTGATGCTCTTGGTTTACAGGCATTCTGTCATATCTTCATGGATACTGTTCTGGGCTGGCTGACTTCTGGAACTTAATTCTGTTTCTAAACCCATGGTCGAGTCATTCCCCCGAAGGTGAACTATCAGTGCACAGTCAGTGGGAAGCGTAGGGTTCTTTTAGTCTAGGCAGGGAACATGAATGAGAAAACCTGCACTTCCTAGCTGGGGAGTAGCCTTTCTCAGGTTCCTCCAGCCTGCACTCACTTAGCATAGCCCCATTGACATCAGTCAGCTCTTAATGTGAAATCTGCAGCATCTGCCTGAGCTATGGTAGTGAACATGGTTACCTGTATGAAACTGTTACTTGTGACAAGAAAGGTTTGGAATGGGGGTTTGAAAGTGCCTTGGGCACTTGTCTGGAACCGGGAAGAAGAGAAGGTTCAGACTGCTGTTCTGCCACAGACTTCCTGTGTGACTTGGGCATTTTCCTGCTACTTAAAGCTACCACTGTGACCTATTTTTGCCAACTATCTATACTATGTATGACATCCAGCAGCAATTCAGTCTGACCTTGGGATCTCTGGCTAAACTTCTAAGTAGGAGGTAAATTCCTCCCCCATTTTATCTCCTTGCTCACCCCTCCTTGCAGCATGCCCAGCTCTACAGGCCTTGAGCACAGGAAATTGGCCAGCAGCAAACCCACAGTTCTCTATTCCTGACTTGCAGGGCCAAAAGAGATGACGTACCTCAGCAGGGGTGGTTCCCATTGTTCGGGTTGGCTGAGGGCAACCTCAGTATCAACTCTAAATATAGTGCAGCGTACCCTTGTTCTCTTTATGGCTTAGTTCCCAGGCTGTAAAGTGGGGATTATAACACTATCCTGTCTCTCAGTGGTGTTGTGACGATACACACACTGAAGCTGATATAAAGACCCTAGAGTATCTTGGACTGTGGACTGTTCACACCATTTGATAGTCTTTCTCCTCTGCTCCAGTGGGTATAGCATTCAATTTTAGTCAATAATCAGAAAGAAGGACCCTTGGTCTCCGTAAAGCAAGATTAAACAGGTTGCCTAATCTTACTCTGAAGGGAATTCTTCAAGGTTTGTTTTTTCTGCATCCATTACAGATAGAGCCCAGGCCAGTGTAGGCATCTAACACCCCACATAATGCTCAAGAGCACTGCTCTGTTTTGACTGCACTGGAAATATACCCTATACCTACCTACTGAGGTAGAATGGCCCTACATCACCTCTCTCTATACTATGAGTAGTGCCTAAAAGCAAACAACTGGAACCCATTTTTGGTAACTCAGGGATATACTCAGACTCTTCATAAGCTGCAAACACTACTTTAGCAAATTCATAGCTGGGCAGCTCTGCAGTGTGGCCACTGCGCAACACCCAGGGCAGCACTGGCTGCTGTGGTGGCAATTGTAGCAGTGTGATCAGCCACTACTGCAATCGTGGCTATTTTTGCACCCCTTCACAGAAGCAGCACCCACAGCTGTTGCCCAGTTTACCCCTCCCCTCCCATAGTAGGGTAGAGACCAATAGTAGAGACCATAGTAGAGACCAATAAGGTCTCTAGATTTTATTGTAATAGGCAACTCATTGCTACAAGCGGCAACAGTGTATTCCAGGTAGAGGTGGCCTACCCGTGTCAGGTAAGTCATGTTGTCAATCTGCCAAGTAGTGCGTGTAGCCGCCGTATTGGAATCCAAGATGGCTGCAGTGAATTCATATTCTGGTCAATATTTCAGCCCCCACTATGGTCAGAAAATTAATTCCAATGACAAAACCAACATTGTATGAACTGAGGAGAACAATTATAAAATTTCTGCCATGGTAGTCATATTGGATTCCAAGCTGGCTGACACACGAGCTTGTATGTATCATCTCAATATAGTTAAAACTAGTAAAATAATACTCTCATACTGAAACCTTACAAATTCTAGCACTACAAATTTCATAGCAGGCCTACAGTACTGAAAACATTATAACTCCAGCTAGCCTACTTGTTCAAGTTATATTGAATAAGACAATATTTTTTTTTAAATTTCAAAATGCGGAGAAGTCAGATATTAGTAATATAACTCAATGGCAATGAAAACCATAGACATATATTCAGCTCAAGGCAATAGGAAAATGTAATAGTCTAATCCAATGGTAATATAATAATAATACAATGGTATATATAACATTAATACAATGGGTACTGCAGTTTTTCAGCTCTCTTCATCGCCTGAATCCATTTCTGAATCCCTGTAGTTATTATATGCATTGCAACATGCTGTCTCATAGCACTCGCAGCTGGCAGTGCCTGGCACATTAACCTGCTTGTACAAGCATGCTGATCCCTGGCATTCCTTCTTTCACTTGCAACTTGTTATCTGAAGGTATTCTGCTGGTAATGGTTCAAGCATGATTAATGATAAGAACATAACTGTCATTTTCAGCTTGCCAACCATGCTGGTCAGGTGATGGCAAAGGTGGATTTAGGTTCAAGATCATTTAATCAAATAAGACTTTGATAATTGGCACATACATGGTGCACAAAGAAGTTGTATGTAGGCAGAAGTCTATCCAGAGCTTTTTCTTGATGGAATAATTTTCACGCTAACATCCAGAAGGATCAAAGATGTTGATGGCTGATACAGCAACACAACAATCTTTTTTACACAACTGTGCAAATCCTTATCAACATCAGAGCTACTTTCTAGACCTGCCAATAGATGTGGATGTTGAATGAACACTTTCTAAGGAGTTTTCTTAGCATGACCACTGAGCTGGCTGGTGGTGTCACAACCAGTGCAGTTGAGAATTCAGTTAAAGATGCGTGGCCTGGCTCCGGCAGTTCTGACACATACCATGAACTGGAATGAATCTTACTGGGATGAACTGGAATCTTATTGGGTTGCTTCTCTTCATCCAAACCTTAGGTGCAAGTTTATGCCATAGAAGAAGGACCAGTACATCTGTGTCATTGCACAAGAATACTAGGCAGGAGTATCTTTGACCAACTGCATGTTTGCCATGTAAGAGCATTCTTGCATTCGCCTCTTCCTGGTGTGAATGCAGTTGCAAAATGTCGCACAAGCTGGAGTGCTCTGCTTTTCCATCAGTGCAACTACCAATAATGAGCACTTGTTCACTTTGGAAACATTGACGTAATTCCTTAAGAAGCTCCTCACTTAGAAAATTAACTAGGTTTTCTTTGCTTGCTGGCAAGGATGTAAAACTATTCCATGATGCCAGTAGCGGAAGAGATCCGCTCCTAATGAGTCTGTGGAGTGGCCTAGTACTTTGAGTCCTTGATATTCTTATGCCTGCCATTATCGATAGTGATATATATCAATCAAAGACAACTTTAACTTGATTACACGTGTTGAAATAGTTGGCAAACACTTATTACACAAATGAGTCAGACAAATCTCCAAATGCTCATGCAGTTTTTTGGCTTTCCTATTTTCCGTACAGGAGACATGCCATCAATAATAACAGCTGATTTCTCAGAAGTAGCATCTGGTAGAACAGTTAGTGCTTTATCTTCAATCAAGATCCATGACAAAGCTTCTTTATAGGCCTCATGGAGTGATTTGTCAGGTTTAAAAATCACAGAAGGTACCCAAACAGTTTGTGCTGTAGGAGAGCATGCACATCGAACCTTCTACCTGTGGCAACCACTGCCAGCAGCCTTTGCTGGTTCTCCTTTGCATTCTGCATCTGTTTCATTTTGCTGCACTGTCGCATACTTGATTTTACATCCTTGAAGGTTTTCAGTGTCAATTTGGGTATGTTTGCATAGAAGCTCTCAGTAGCATCTGGATAATGAAGTTCACAATTTCTCTTCCTTTGCTATGTGCATTCAGAATGTCTATGTGGCAGGTTCGTGTCCCAGGCGTGGCCGTGAAGCCCCCTGGTGACCCCTGCCTGGCTCAGTCTCTATTACAGCCCTCCCTTAATTGCTCACCCGCCACATCTTGTTCTTACTAGAAGTTAAATAAGAGAGGCTGCTCACTGGCCTTAGAGTGAACCTTAGTCTATTTGCAGTACCCTTGGGTCCCTCCTGGACCTTCAGCTGCCTTGATTCTCACTTAAGCTCAATAGCTCCTCTCAGCTGGCCTGTGCCCCAGCAGAGCCCCTGTAGCTCCAAAGGCGACAAGCATATTTATGCACGCCTGCCCCAGGGCACCCGTAACCTTAAGGGCTCCATTTCCT